TAGGAAGCTGCTTTTACCGCCGCCATCTCAAAGTGACCTAAGGAAGCAGTCGATCAAGGAGCTGCATTAGAGTAATCGGGTCAACGGTTGAAGTCTTTGTGCAAACACAAAGCCAGTGATTTTTGCCAACCTCCGACATCTCTGGTACAGGTGTATCCTCAGCTTCTAACTAAAAACTGAGTATGCAACGCTACCGTACGAAAAGTGATACTTTAAAGTTATGAAACCAGAAAGCATCTTTCTTTATCAACACTACTATCGGAGCATGGATAGTGTGTAATGGCAACACAGTATTATTAATGGCGATGGGCGCCATCGGATTTTCAAGTCAGACAGACATTGTCGACAAATGAGTTGCATAATTTTGCACAAAACAGGTTTCGGTGGCTTGGGAACGTGTTTCATATGCCTGCCCAGTAGTTACTTCGTCGCGCTTCCAATGCATAGGTCGCTGTTTACTGGAAGCGAGGGAAAAGCGCTCAACATACACCTTGGGCTCAAGGCGCTAACATCAAAGCTGGCCGCAGCGAAGCGTTCCTAGACTCGTGAGGAGAAGACCCAAAGACCGTGTACACAACTGGTTTGAAAAGTGATGAGCAAAAACCGGATCTCTTGGGAGATTCCCCTACTCTGTATGTTTTTCCCTCTCCTTTTGTTGCACTAACTGCGAATAGGCTAAATGTCAAGTTATTGGTAATGGGCGTGTTATAGAAATACATCTTTGTCTAGACTCCGAAGTGCAGCGGATCAAGTTGTCACGAGTCGCGTCGTCAGAATAACAAATATAGCAATAGTAAGGAAATGAGGTACAGAAAAGGCAACGAAAATGGAACCAGGAAAGAGGTGTGTAGAGCTAATCAGCTAGATGAAAGAAACTAGGTACACGAGCGCCAGTGATTGTGCGACAGTGCCATGTCTGATAGAGTCTCCAACCAATGGTGTGGACCATCCCGGGATCCCCATCCACGGAGGCCGCACAGACCAGTCTGACCAAGTCTTTCCGTTGATTTCTTGAAGCATTTAAGCCCCCTCATCAACCGAAGATCTCGTGATTCTGCTCAAGCGATAGCAGAAGGTGCAATCCAAGGAAGACACTCAACGGGCATATGGAGGAAATGACAGCCAATGTAAACGATTAGGTTTCAGCAAATACCCCAGTGAGGCACCAGAAGACCTATTGCTGAAAACCATCTTGCGACCTCACCACTGCTCACTTGCTGGGCCCACCAAACGTAAGCGATATTCCGCAAGCACCGGTGAACATATGGAAATAAGGCTAATGCCTCGATGATTTTTGCACAAATTCTGCTGGTCCTTTGTAAAAATGGGTATGACAGTTGGCAGCCGCAAATCTAAAGACATCTCTTCAGTGCCCCAACTAGCGTTGGATAGAGCAGTAATTCCAGTCAACAAACAGCCCCACCAAGGAAATATTTCGGTGTTGCTTCTCCCAACACTGGCACACCACGACCGCGGTTTCGTTCTGGTTTGGACTCACCAGCTGACGATAGTCTGAGCTGGGCTGGAACTAAGAGCCTAGTAGTTTCCGACTGACGCTCTGAACACTACGCTACTAAGATCGGCGAGCAACGGTTGGCACAGCAAAAAGGAATGCAAAGTTGAATTTGGGGAAACCGCTACGTCGTTGGGTTGCGACCCGCAACCTCTAATGAGACCTCGATTCACTTTGAGGTAAACTTCGGTCATTGCGATCGGGAGGGCTGTATCCGAAATGGAAGTATTTCGGTGTTGCTCCTCCCAACAGTGGAACGCTGTGCCAACCGTTGCTCGCGGATCTCAGTAGCAGAGTGTTCAGGGCATCAGCCATGATCTACTAAGCTGAGTTCTAGCCCAGCTCAGGTTGGGAGGAGCAACACCGAAGTATTTCCATTCCGGATACAGTCCTCGCGGTACAGTAGCTGAGGTGTTCCCACCTCTAGCTAACGTGTATAATAATGGAGGAAGGTCGTCAAGGGCCCTTGTTTCCTTTCAACATGGTGAGCTCATGTCGAAACTCTTCCAAAGTGGGAGGTGTGACATCAACTTCCCAAGGGAGCACAGGTGATTCTGCAGACGGTAGTGTCGCAACAGAACTGTTGAACTCCTCCATAACATATTTCGCAAATGCGCCAGTCGACGAGGCTGAGAATAGATCACCTGTTCATCTTTCTCAGCTATTGTCACATAAATTAAAGGTTCTCGTGCATCCGTGTCGCGGATCAGCTGGAATAGCACTCGGCTATTCCCATTAGCACTGAGTTTCTCCCACAGGCCTTTGACACCCACCAACGTTCCCGGTCCATTCGAAGACCCCTCGTTAGCCGTCGCATCAGAGCGCTACGGACAGGCTGAAACTCAGTACCCATTCTAAGATGTTTCCGTGGTTCGATCAGACTGATCCATTGCTCGATGATCCATTCACAGTTCGGACATCTCAAGTTCGGCGTATAGCAGGCGTCAAAAGCATTCTTCATGGCACACTAGACGATCCGAGTCAGCGTTCGCTCACCAGTCTCATTCACCATTGACATTTAGTAGGTCAGTTCGTCATGATATTGTTGAACTGCGGACTGCGATTTCAAGTTACTAGTGAAAAGCTTAAATGTTAGGCGGTTATTTGTAGCGAAAAGCGTGAGTGACTGGCGTGTGCACACTAACGCATTGCATGTGCTCCAAACGGACCGACAGTCTGGTCTTAGTGTAAGATAATGCTAGCATGGACAATCTGAGTCCGTGTCATCGAGGAATTCGGTGGGTACCACGTGACACGATGGGAAAGTTTGCGCTGGAAAGCAGTGCTGCTAACCTAAATAGTGTGGTCGGTGAACTGTTAAAGGAAATCAGCGCCATTTTCTGTTCGACGTAAATCGCTTCAGAAACAGCCTGCCAGTCTGTTCAGTCTGAAAGGCAACCCGAATTGGGCATTCATGGCACCAGCAACAATCACGAAATCAATATTTTACGTCAGAAAAGAAGAGAGGAGAGTTTATGATAGAAATTTTCTTTGGTACCTTCCGAACAGCAGTCAGTAGGGGGATAAACAGAGGCGACAAAAAAGCACCTTGCCTTCAGACGGTGTCTATTAACACCAGCAGAGGATCTAAGACGAACCGCACATATGTGGTAGATTGCATTCAGCACGTCTTGCTGAGAGCGATACCGACTCCCTAAATACCACGAACTATTGACCTAGTATAGTCAGGAATACGAAAAGTGTAATCATTGCTGGTAGACTCGGAACCTGGAAGTAGAAGATTGGTCACAGCGCTGTTAGCTTGTAGACGCCATTCAGAGACACAGCACACACGAATAAAAACAGAGCGAAGAGTCAGTTAGCGCTGCCCGTCGACCGATCTGATCTAGAGTACGGACGTTAAACGAACCAATGTAAAATGAGACGCTTGGTCTGAAGGGCGAGGTACATGTATCTATAATAGCAGATGGGAGGTCCGCGGCAGTCTGTATCTCAATAGACGGGAAAAGAGATCTGAGACGGGAGAGAAAAATAAGAACAAGGAGTGTTGTCAAGGAGGTGGAGGGGGTAGATAATACTGTCGGCCTATCCGTTCTGTGAGAGGTGTTTCCTTTAAAGTGACCAGGGGGGAACATGGAGGTACACTTGAGTGGCTCCACCAGGAGATTTGGCTCAGCAGCTAACTCACAAGCCAGTGCGGCGCAAGCAGCTGGGGATTATGATCTACTTGAGGTTTTAGAACGATTTACATGCGTTTTTCGACTGCTGTGTGCTAGGCATCTGTGAACCTGGCCAGCCGTATTTGTGAGTTGGCAAATTTTCACCAAATTGACCAGAGTCTGTCTGGCTTGGGGTGGGCGGTGCAAAACAAGGGAGCCTCGGGCAGTGCTTCCCCCCCCCCCCCCACCGTCAGACGCAGAGAGTGGCGCTCGTGATCTAGGTTAATCGAATAGTGAGTTTATGCCAATAACCTGCTGTCTTCGAAGGCCACGTTTTAAAGGAAAATGCCTATTGACCTCTCCTCTTAACCACTAACCTATGCAGTATGGGGGCTCTGAAGGCACTTAGACAGTGCCCAATGGTGTAGCTCAATGGACCATTGAGGTACACAAACCATCCCACCACGTGAAGGACCAGTCTCGTCATATATATATATATATATATATATATATATATATATATATATATATATAGGGTCTTGTTAGTTGGTATGCCTGGTTTGGCTGTGCTTCAGGTGACTATTGGCAAGGTGCCTACCTGTCGAAAACCCCAAGGCTCGAGTCCCGGTTCCAGTAGACTGCTGATCGTGACGGGAGGGGAGAGCGTTTCCCTGCATTGTGCGAAGGGCTAAGATCCAACTACCGCCCTGCGTACGTCTGAAGTGCATGTTTACCTTGTTCAATTGAATGAATGACGTGCATGTTGAAGGGTTATGGGCCGGCTTCGAACCAATCGTGGCTCCCATCTATATGCCTCCCAGTCTTATTCCTTCGGGTTTATACTGGATGTGGAAAGTGTGCGTATGGAACTTCAGGTGGTACAGCGCGCCACCCATGGCTGTTCGCAGTCACAGTGACATGCAAATCCGAAAATGAATGTCACCAACTATCGATGATCAGTGAGCTTGAGTGATAGGATCCTACCGGATGAAGTGAATCGAATTGAAAGTTTTGATAAAAGTATGATACGTAAGTGTGATTCGTCTAGGAAGCAAAGCGGCCATTGTGTAGATGGCAGAACCGACTAAAGACCACTGGTACAGAAAGGTGAAAGGGTAGGTCGCACGACTTATAAATAAAAAAAGAAGTAGTCGCAACGGACAGTTATGTAGAATGGGAATAAGAATAACGAACGTTGGAAGCACTCTATACAAGTTTAGATGAGTCTGCTAAGTTGAGCAAGGTGAACACTGATTCAGACAAGTCGACACCAGTATGATCAGATAGACGCTAACACAAACCGGCGATTTACACAGCGCTGTTATTAGCCGTTCTTTCGAATACAAATAGGAGAAACATGGACTCACTTTTTCGGTTAGTTCAGAACACAGGCCAAGGTGGCTCTGGACAGCAACAGCAGTGAGTCGTTGTAAGCGAATGGTAATCATTTGCAAAATTCGCATGAGCGCCGGAGTTTGTGGTTGGCAAATTTCAAGAAACGATCGAATTGGCAATTTCAGTACAGTGCTGACATCTACGGCTACGGCTTCCATTGTTTTGTGAGTTGATGGGTTTCCGCTGAGCACGTTTAGTACAGAAAGAAAGCTATCAATGCTCCCTCCACGAGTGACTTCACTGATTACGGAACGTGAACCATCCTGTAGAAATGTGTGATGGGAAGAGGAAACGATATATTTAACCAGAGAAAAAGTATGAAAGTGGTATGTATGTGCAAACCGGGTCAGCAGTGTAATGTAGCTGCAAAAAAACGCATGAAATACAGGACCGAGTATAAGTAAGTGCAATGTACAGCAATGAAATTACCGGTGACTTCCGTTGAGATGAGAAAAATAATTAGGAGAAATACAAATCTCTAAAAATTGCAGCTCATGAGGAACAACACGAGCATATTGAGAAATGCACAATGTGACTGCGGCTCAGTACGAAGCCAGAGGTAAATTACGGAGACATTAGTGATGATTGAACCCATCACTGAAATTCGACCGTCCGTCTCCAGCGCATGTGGCGAACAGTCTCCGAGACAAGACTAAGTGCGCAAGTGCACTTCAAATAGCTACGGTTTTGGGATTCGGTGAATAAGTGTAGAACGCTTCCATAACTCTGGCTTGCGACTGTAATTTTTTACTTTACTGACGTTATGACACCAAGTCCCGTCATATGAGGAAGAACAAAAAACAAACCTTGAGATTATTGAACTTTCCTTCGTTTCCTTCCGTGTCAACGATTAATTCCAGCGCCAATAAACACCAGCTCTCATAACCAGATTTCATGTGATCCGGTGAGCAGCGAGTCACCGCGGCGAGTAGCACCACGGAAATGATTTTGGAACAGATTATTGAAAATAGGAGGTGAGAACTAAAAAATCGTTCTCGCTTTTCTTCACAGCAGGGCTTGGGAGTGGCCGATGGCCGCCTTCGTTTAAGGTATTTACAAGGGATGACCACCTGGAGATTACAAGTCCAGCTGGATTGGTGCAGAGCATGGGTGCCATGAGTGATCTAATATTTAAAAAGAACATAATTATTTTTTCGGATTTTATTGCAAAAAGTGCAGCCAACCGTCGATGGGACACAAGCCGGCTAAAAATTGGAATTAAGCCACGCCTGGTAACAGTTATTAACCAGCGCTACGTTGAACGTGTAGGGGTTTATCCAAACATACTGGAAGAGTACAGCCTGTTTCCCACGAAAACACGCTACCTTGCAGCGCAGCGAAAACAATCGGTCTAGGGATATCGCAACAGTAGTGGAGAATCTCGCTTTCAGAAAAACCGTGAGTTCAATGAGTCCCATTCAGTCATTCTGGCGAAGCAGACAGAATACATAGGTTGCTATATGTAAACATCAGGAGTGTTCTCATCAGTTGCAAACACAATGCAAGAACACACGCATAGCTATGTATGTGAAACAGTTCGAAAAACCAATCAAAATGGAATAATCAAAACTAAGACAACCTATTTGACTGCCTCAAGAGTTTCTGTGCACATAACAAAAGTTGGTGGACGGAAATTAGCAACGCCTCATAGATTGCCAACATAAATTATCCTCGAAGTCGGGGCTGTGTTGACCACATCTTCACATAACTTCAGCTGTAGAAGCACCGCGAAAATGGAAGCCATATGACTACGGATAGCGGTGTAAACAATCGGTTCGATGTCAAACCATCCAAACATACCGTGAATCCAATTTGGGTCACTGATTCAACATGTAACTGTGATATATATCTATATGATTACTCGTGCCTTTCGACACAGGCATTTGCAAATCAATTTGCCATCTTAACATGGAAACATTTATCACTGCCACATCACGTTTCTTATGTCACATGAATTTACACACTTTCTTGTCAAGATTAATATTTGGTCAAACAGCAACTACCGCATATCTGTTTGTGCAAAACTGATCATGCCTTCTTTGGTGTGCCTCGTGTAACATCGAGAATAAACATATTTATTTTTTTCATTTTTATTGATGACCCACCATAGTCTGAATACTGTATCATAGAACAAGTAGAAATGAATTCTGTACAACTCTATCGAAATATGGTGAAAAACGTTAAGAAAATGGTCAGTCGTGAATATTGTTGTCGTTATCATATAACAATTAAAATAGCGGATTCGCGTTATTGCAGGACTCACAAATGTGATATGTCATCGTAAGTGTGCAATCGTTCTTTGAATCAAATAGTGGTAAAATAAAAACCTGACAACGTTTTGAACTGCTGCACAGATGTTGCCTTCATCACATGTTTAGGCAAACTGTTCCAAATTTGTACCACTTTCCATTTGAAGCACAATGGGTGGGGAACTCGCTTCACATCCGGCAGGAATAGTTTGTTTCTGTGTCAGCGTGTGCTGCATGGCCTTCGTAAGTGCAGCATTGGATTCAGCATGGGGAAGTCACCGAGATGTAGAATACGGCAGGTCATAATTAGGTCCGTTCGCACCCGACGGGAGGACAAGGTCCTAGTTTCTCGCACCGGTCATCATAGCCCAAGCCACGTAACCTCGGGATGAGCCTGGTAGCAACGTGTTGAACCCGTTCGATCTTTTTTGCCTCGCTTTGGGTACTCGGAAAATAAATGGGCGAACCGTACTCTAGCATTGGTTTAATCATGGAAGAGAAGCGGCGAGTGGCAACCTCGTCAGACCATGTGCCGAAGCTAAGGTTGAGCGCCAAAAGCCTGCGCAGTCCGTTACGATGTAACCTGTTCGTGTTGTCCACGGACTTCAAATCGTAGCGCGAGAATACACCTAGGTCCTTTACAGGCGGTGTGGGATATAGCGGTTGGTCGTCAAGGGTATAGGTTCGGTCGTCAGCACCTTTCCCCAGGCTCATAAATACAGACTTGGCTGGGTTGACGGGGAGATGAACTGCTGCAGATCATGTGGATAGAGGGTTGAGGTCTTGCTGAAGTAGGTCACAGTTGTCGGAATTGTCAATTTCTCTCAAAATCTTCATGTCATCCGCGAACAAGGCACATGGCGTAGATCGATGTTGTGGATCAGGAAGAGGGTGGGCCCTAGCACAGTGCCTTAAGGCACACCACTTGTAGAGGGATACCCGTCAATTAGGTGGTCATCGACCAGTAGCCTCTACTTTCGTCCAACAAGAAAGTCGTGCATCCACCGGTGCAGTGAGCCACCGACACCGCACATGCTGTTTGTGAGGAGGACATCATGGCTGACCTAGTCGAACGTTTTACCGAAATCGATGAATATCACCTCGACAGACTTCCGATTGCTTATTGCCTTCAGCCACTCATGCCTCGTCACAAGCAAGTTTGTAATGCATGAGCGGCCTTGCATAAAAGCGTGCTGTGCGGGCGTCAGGACCACTTTTGACTGGAGCAACGGCAATAATCCAATTTTAACGATTTTCTCAGCAACCTTTGCCAAAATAGGTGTCAGACAAATTGGTGTATAGCTATCTACTTTGCTAGCGTCGCCGCTATTCCGAATAGACTTCACCACCGAACATTTTCAGTCCATGGGCAACGAACCTTCGGATAGCGACCTGTTGAAAAGGTCAGTCACGACAGGAGAGATGATGGTCGAAAGTGACTTGAGAATCAGTGGGTGAAGCCCATCAGGTCCAGCAGGTTTGGCACCGTCAAGGTTGGCGAGTAATCGACATACCTCTTCAACGCCGCAATCCAGACTGTCGAGTTCGGTAAAAGCGGTACACGTCGAAATCGGAACAGACACCTGGTCATTCGCAAATACAGAAGCGAAGTGCGTCGCCAACGTGAACGCACGCTCAGTGCTGGAGGCTAGGGGCTGTCCGTCCGGGCCATCCAGCACTGGCACATAACCTGCCGACTTCAGGCGTCGTTGCACGTAAGCAAAAATTCTATTTGGAGCGGTCTCCGCGGCGATTGCTAGCTGCTCTTTGAAATGTCGGCGCTTATTCTTTTTTGCACTGTTGCAGAGTTTACGCTGACTTTTATACCCTTCGTAGTCATTGGCAGATTCAAAAGGAAGGAATCTGTCTCACAGTCTGTGCCGGCTCCGAGCCAGATTTCCATACTCCTTGTCAAACGAATGAGGCTTAATCGGTCCGACGTTTCAAGGGCACAAATTGGGAACATAAGGATATCAGTCCCTCTTTTATAAGTGTCTAACAGTCTTCTATAGATTCAGCTTGTGACAGAGACCAATCCAGTTGGTTCGCGGCTCGAGCTAGACCGTTGTAATTCGTTTTCCAGTAGTTGTAAGCCGGTTCCAGCGGACGTGAATACGGCAAAGGTAATTTCATATCACCTATGAGCATTGAGTGGTCGCTTGTAACCAGGGAATCCAAGATCCGAACGTCACGCATTAGATGTTCGTATCTCGTTAACATCAGGTCGAGAAAGGAAGAGGTTTAGCGCGGTGTTACGCGTGTTGGCTAGCATATGTGTTGCGATGCACCAGTTTCAAGTACCAAATCCACGAACTTTGCTTCAACCTCACCGTGTCCAGGTATCAAATCCACACCAAGCTATCGTATTTGAGGGTAGTTAAAATCGCCCATAAGTAGAAAGGGTGCACGACTCATGTGGGTTCGAAGATGAGGTAGCCAATACAAAAACGACTCAGGGGTTGGTGACAGACTGTGCCCACAAGTAGTTCTCCGCGCCTGAGGCGGATGGAGCACCACAGTGGTTTACACAAACTATCTTCACTTCGGTAGGTGCCCACAAGTCTCCCACGCAGGGAAGACCGGATGTAGAGCAAGACACCACCGGGGGCATTCGTTAGTCTACCGCAGCAGAAGCACGAGTAACTGTTGAGTACAAGTTCCTGTGAGCATAACTATGAATGCAACCATGTCTCTGCGAGTCCCACTACATCTGGCTGCTCAGATGCAACGAAAAGCAAAGCACATCAAGTGATAGGTGTGTCGGAGAGATCAATTCGTCTAGTCAAGTTGGAACTCACCTCAATTGTTCCTCCACAACACTTTATCATGGACAGCCCATTTCTCTTTCCATGTGCCAGAACCCCGGCTGCCTGTTTTACCCACCTCTTGAACATTGATAAACCATTCGATTCTGCTCATCTACCTCACCCTCAAACCCGCCTCAGTCATTTTGGTTGTATACCCTTCATCGTTTGATGTGGTAATTACCGATAACCTATCGCAGACGCCGCAGG